TGTGAGTGGGAGTAAGAGTGGACCGTGAAAGTGAAAACAAACAAGAACCGGGATGGAAATATGCAGGAGAAGGAGGACGGGGAGGAGGAAGAAACCTAGATCGTTAAGTTTTGAGGCAAAGAAGAATGGAGGTGAGAACGAGAAAAAGAATGGAGAGGGTTTGGTGAATGTAGACGTGGAGAAGGAGGTAGAGGTGGAGTTGGAGGCGAGGGCGAAGGAGGCGGAAGCGGAGGAAAGAAAGACGAAGGTAGAGAGAAGAAGAGGGCGAGAATGGTTGAGGCGCATTTAAGCTCGTGTGAAGAGCCGCCTCTGACAAGCCCGAATGCGTGCTTGTGTTCCAAAGAAGACTGAAGTATTATGATCTAATTTACACGTAACATCATATTGTAAAGGACATTCCAAATATGTGTAGTTTCATATTGCATGCAGTTTTGCATTTGAAATCACCCGCCTAGCAGAGAAAGTTATTCACAGCAATGCAATTGGAGCACCCGCGCATGATGATAGGAATTGATTGGGCCCCTATTAATGCATCGGATTGCAACACTGGTGAATTCAGAGTGAAGCACAGCGGTGAATTGAGGTGCAGTAAATACAAGTTATCTTCTTCCATACAGTACATAAGACTGCAAAGTTGGGTTGCATGCGCCACTATTTATTTTCTTCGCTTACTTTCCATTTGGAGGATTAACTCTTCTGCTGTAATGACTGTTGCATGTGGAGAGGCGAGAGCTGCACCTACAGTAGCAGCAGCATAAATGCCGATGTGGACGGTGGATTATGAAGGTAGGTATGGGTCGGGAAACGAAGAGCTATGTGAATGGAACAGAGGAGTTGGAAGCGGGAGGAATGAGATTGAGGATGGGAACGCGGTTAAGCAGAAGAATACAGATTTGACCTGCGCACTCTTGCTCGCGGTTGGCATTTTGCCCTGTGTTACTAGGCCTTTTGGGGCACATGGCTCCTCCACTATCTCTTGCGGACATACAGGTGCAGGTCTGCCTTTTCTGCCGCCACTGCCGCCTCTTATTTGCCCTACTTGACCGTACCTCATGACCGCTGGACGTGGATTGTGGCAGACGGGCAAGATACTGGCTTTTGGTCGCCTCACCTCCCACCGAGCAAGCACTTCGAA